AAATTCTCTATATAATCATGAATTATTTTTTTTAATAGTGTTGTGACTATATATAAGTACCTCTATACTTGTCACACTCTATATAATCACCAATTTCTGTATCCCAAGGGTATGACTATAGAGAGGTCTGACTGTACTAAAATTTGAATCTAACTTTTTGAAACCAATTTGTGAATATATATATTTATTTAGATCTCTCAAGGATTACTATGCAAATTTTTTTAATAAAAAAAATTTTCAAGTTAGATTTAGCAATCGTTGAACCTACAAGAATACTACCAGACAGAATTTGATAAAAACTTTTAATATAGAAATTCAGTTGATATTCATCAAGAAATCTTCGTTTTAATTTAAAACTGAAATAAAATCATTTTATAAAAACCATACCGAATTTGAAATTTAAATAAGGATTTCTCGACGATTACCGAAAAAAAAGGTTTAAACAACACTAAAAAGCTTATAGAAAGATTTGTTTTATTAGCCTTGTAGCTACGAGAATCTTTAATTAATGTTTAAACAAAAATCCAAACTTTTATCCACATCAAGGGTTCTGGACGATCTTTCATTATTAAATGATTTGCATGAGGCAATTTTAGGGTTAGACCCGGGTTCACAAATTTAGCGGACTCTCATGTATAAACAATTTTTTTAGATTATGAAAATCACGTGACACATACGATATAATATGTAAACTCCAGTACGTAGTAATACAAATTATAAATCGGATTTTGAATTTTACAACCCAACTTAGTCGATTTATCGATTATTGCGGTTTACAAAATTTTGTAAATTTTGCAGATTATCAAACAAAAAGAAATCGATTATTATTAATGATTAGTGATTTCCGATTTCTTTGTTATTATATTTCTAACATTTTTTATTTTGCTTTGCAAAAAGTGTGGCCCTCACGGATCATAATATTATGTAAAATCACGGGAAATTAGGATTCTAAAAGAATTTTACAGATTTCAAAATAGATAGAAATATTACTTATTGAATATATGATGATAGACTCTTTTTATAATACTCTCACGATTTTTGGAGGCCTAGATGTAAAGTACCCCGGGTACTAAGGACGGATTAATTGCACTTGTGAATGTAAAATACCCGGTAACTAAAGATGGATTAATTGCACTTGGCATATAAAATATTACTCCAGCACTCATATAGTGGAACTTATACCCCCTACGCTGACCATAGTATCCCTCCGACTATAATAACCATATATACAGCTTAAATTATGAAGTATTTTAGTCTACGCTGTACGGTATTTAGAATATCCGAAATTTCCCATTATCGTTATCACAAAAATTGTGGGGTTACACCTTTTTGCCAAGCGCAATAATCGACTACGGTTGGCCGATTGGTTGATTAGTCAAAGGAATATCAATACATCTGTTCCATTGCTAATTTACGTGTATTTTACCAGTTTCATTCAACTAATCGATTGAAAAATTTTTATCGATTTGTATTACTAACTCGGGTCTATTCTAAGGGAGTACTTTGAGGTTTTAAATATGCTATGTAAATCAAATCTATATATGGCCCTATATAGAGGCCTGCACGAGCCGGAGTCGGGCCGAAATTAAAAATTTTAAAAATCTCAAAATTGCGAGTCTGGAATGTCAAAAGCGCGGGCCGAACTTGAAAAATAATAAATTTTATTTTGTGGGTGCAGGCCCCTAGTACTATATAAATTGTATCTTCCCAATAATTTACATATTAATTTATTTAGAAATTTCGCTCAATATTTTAATAAACTAAAAATTATAAAACTATTATAAATATTACCAAGTCTTCATGATGGTTACACGGAAATCTTTATAAAAAATTCTTAAATTCAAATTGTATCTTTTCGATAATTTACGTATTAATCTATTTAAAAATTTTATACAACAGTTTAATAAACATATATTTAACTTAAAAGAAAATTTTCTTAATAGAAATTTACTATCTTTACCCATAGGGTATAATACCCATAATGTTTATATTATAGTACCTTATATCACTAGTCGAAAAATGAAAAATCAGTTACTGGATTTATGTAACAAAAAATTGACAAATCAGGAGTAGTCAGTTAGCAATCAGGTTGAAATCAGATACCTGATTTGTAATCAGTTAACAAGTTAAAATCAGGTACCCGATTTGTAACTGATTTTTCATTTTTCGACTAGTGTATATATTAAAGGTTAGATTTAGAAATATGTGTGGTTATATGCAAAATTAGGTCCTTAACATATGTTATCTTAGTAAAATTTTGAGATATTAATGATATTGATACAAATAGTAATTCTCTTTTTTAATAAATTAAATGTGGCAGTTTCTATTTGTACACTATATATGTACACGAGTATGTTATAAAACAACTTTGGGGTTCTAACAAAAATATTCTTTACAAAATTTTAGTGTATTCCTAGTTCTACAGTGCGCGACACTTAAAGACTCACAAACTTTAATAACTCTGATCTAATAAAGATATTTTAAAAAAGAAACTACTATTTTGTAGCTAAATCAATTTATTACAACTTAGCAGCCTTATTTTTTAAAAAGTTATAATTACTTTTTAAAATATATAACTTTATAAATATTATATTTTTATACGATCACATATAAAAATTCTTAAAAATAGAACACATTAAAATAAATAATCAATCAAATTGAGTTAAATTTATATATTAAGATTTTTAAAAAATATTTAACTAATTAATTTTAATAAATTTGGCCAATCAAAATTAAGTAACTTTAAAACCATCAAAAATCAACGTTTTAAAATAAATTAAAGCCCTAAATTTTTAATTTTTAAAAATGGAACTAAGTCTTTAAGTGTCGCGTACTGTAGAACTAACCCATTCCCTAACTTTAAACCAGGTTAATTTTTTGTCTTATAATTTTCAATTGATCACGACGGTTACACAAAAACCATCGCATAAATTTTCATATATAGATATGATTTACAAAGTGCATCTTAAAACCCTTAAACTTTGCATGTAAAATTGAGCCGATCTTTATTAACAGTACTAAATTTTTATTTAGAAGGCTTTTTAGCTATATAACAATGTTCTATATATCAAAGTTGTTAATTAATCAACTATAGAATAAATAGATATACCAATTATTTAGAAAACAAATTTACGAAGTTTGTTAAAATAAGTCGAACGCGCCAAATAACTAAATGATAAACATAAGTACGCATAAGAAATGAACCTTTTTTAGGAATCAGAGTCGATCATCGGAAAAATTTATCGGAAAAATACAACGATAGTACGATAGGTAGGTTGGAGAATAAATCATGTGGAAAATTAACAAAAATAAATTTTGTAAAAATTTTGATTTTCTATTATAAAATCTATATTAAATCATAGAAATTCAAACTTTAAAAGGTTATACTGTATTTACTCCTTAAGTAAAAATGTTCCTGGATTAATTTGAATTAGTTAAGCTCAACTTTTTTAAAAAAAAATAGTCAATTTGGACCCTTTTTCCAGCACCTAGTCCATATTTTTTGTATCATTTTTTTTATATCATTTTTTTGTAATATATTCTTTATATCATATTTTTTGTACTTAAAAAAATGTAATAAAACAATTTCATATTTTAATCATAGAATGATTAACTAAGCTTGCGAAAATTAGTAAATAAATTATACTATACTAGACGCCCAAATCACAAACTATTATAGTTTGCCAAGTCAAAATCCCAACACCCAAAACTCTGCCTAAACTAATCTCTTAATCAATAATCTTTAACTAAACAAATAAAACCATATTCTTATAGTTATATAGAATATATCAACCTCATTTTTTCATTTAATTTTTATAAATAACAACTGTTTTTTTTGAAGTTTGGGATTTTGCCGGCAATTATAAAACTGTACAGACGCAGAGATTAGGTAGAAACAGTTGAAAGAATATTAAGGAAAACCATCGATTATCTTATTAAGCGTATTATCCTGGAAAACCATCGATTATCTTATTAAGCGTATTATCCTGGAAAACCAAGAGAATAAGGGTCATAGAACGCATAGTTATCTTCATATAAACCATCTACGCAATAAATTGTTTGGATAGGATTAAAAGATGAATATAAAGGTGGCTCAGCAGGTAATAATATTGATGGTGTTGATAGCGGGTTAACGTTAAATCCATAGTTATCATACTGAGGAATAAAGAATAAGTTGTTGGTAACGGGTTGATAATGATAGGGAGGTGTCGGATCAGAATGAAAAGGAAAATTTGCATCGGTAGTCATTGTATGTTCTGAAACAAATATATTATTTTTGTTGTCGGGCGATTCTGATGCGTAATAGGGATGGTTCAAAGTCCAGCTGGAAATTTCAGAGTTCATAATGTCCAACTTTTTTGGTATTGATTGTTCAGAATAAGCTGTTTGCATTTCTGAATCGGTAGTAAGCGCAGGTTTTATAGTTGGAGAGGGATATCTCTTTTTAGGGGAAGTATAAACAAGATTTTCTTTCCTTTGCCTGATCAGTTCTTCCTCAACTTTGGCGGCAATATTTTGATATTCTAAATAAAAGGTAATTATTATTAATATAAATACTGGAATACAAAACCAAGTCTACTCTGTAGTCGTACCTTTTTTTACTTTATCGCTTTCATTGCTCCAGGCTTTGGCGATATGTGGAGATAATTCAGTCATGCTCAACTTTTTAGAATTTGTCAGTTTATTGTACTCGAAAACATAATATGCACGATATATAAGCCAGCAGTTTGGACCTTTTGAACCAATTTTTTCAGGATTTTTTTCGAGCCTTTTTTGGACAATTTCCAAGATATCGATACGTGGTGGAAAAGGGGGTGTAAATGTAATAGAATCGCAAGGAAATGTAAAATTTTCTTCTGACATACTTTTAATAAGTTAAGCTATGTCATATATAATGAACGAATTCCTTTTGTTTTGTTGAAAAATTCAAAAACTTGATGTTGAAAACCTGCAAGAAATGTTATATTTAAAGGCCATATATAAACCGTTTTAATGGGAGCACAAAACCTGACTTGCTTTTTTTTTTGTTGCATAAATATTGACGTTTCGGGTTTATAGTATTGCGTAAAAATTGGAACCAGAAATAAACTATTTGCGGTTATTGTTCTTAAACGCATTAAATTGATCCGATAAAATGACAGATCAATCATATAGCAAATATTTTAAATTAGTATGGTATTCAACACAAGATTGCGCGTTAGTATTACGCGTCAGTCATTTCTTAATATGTTATAATTATTGTACATTATAGTCGATCACATTACAAGATTTCGAGGTAACATAGTGGTGGCAGAAAAAATTCGCGATCAAGTGATTTCTGATCGATCAACATACAAATTTATGCAATTAGGTAGGTATATTACTATATTTTTAATATTAAGTTATAGTTCTTGATTGGGTCATAATCGCATTTTTTTCTGCCTAAGATTTCGAGAAATATGACCGCATTCTATCTAGAATATTATGTCGGCTTTCAGATTCCGAGAACATATTATGAGCATCTTGAACCAATTTATCATAACGCCATAAATTCCTACTAAACTTAAATTGGAATAGATTTACTATTCTCGGGAGTTCTGCGAAGGAAAAAAAAAAATCCTTTGAAAGTGAACAAAGTCATGCCATGAAGATTAATTGGAACTCAAGTTTCATTACCGTATTTGCGCGAAATAGTACCTTGGGGCATTATTTGAGACATGTAATTTAAAAGATCTAATAATTAACTTAACCAAAGTTTTTTTTTAAAAAAAAATAAAAATAAATCATGTTTCGCATTCAGTTAAATTAATTAGTTATTAAATTGCACACCTTAAAGTAACGCCCCTGACGTTATTTCGCGCAAATACGGTAATTTGATTCTCAAATTCTGATCCAACTTTTTTTTGTCTTTATTCTAAATATTATTACATAAAAATGCAAATCTATGTTTATTTCCAATTTATTGTAAAAGCCACATAAACAATTGTCCATAACAGGCGAGAAATATTGCTTTAATATAACGATAAACTCATGACATTCTTGATTGATGCACACATGGTATCCATGCCATTCATAACTCTATAAGTATTTTTTGAGCGATTGAAATATCAAACTTTTTTAGGAAAAATCGGTTAAAGGAGGTAGCTACCTTTTCATGTCACCTCACGTCATATAAAATTTGGGTAGTGACGCCCATATGTCACTTCTACGTCACTGCCATATGTTATCTGATATTTCTAATGTCTGCGGTCTTAATTGAATATAAATCCACTCGACATCTAATCCATGACAATCTCATCTATTGATTGGTTCATTTACATTAGTAATGCGTGAGAGTCTGCTAAACTTTTGCAAGAAATGCTTTATTAGAATAAAAGTGGTCTCATAGATAAAATTTTGTGCTACCAATATTAAACCAAAAAGAGAAACCGTATCTGAATATTTTCAAATCACAAAGTTTTGCAGCAAGATCATATTATTAAGTCAGAACCAATGATTCAATATAACTTCATTTTTCATAATTTTTATACTTTTCTTAAATTTTTGTAAACGATAAAGACTGATTGCTATAATTTTTTTAAAATTTAATAATTCATAACTAAAACCACGGTATATACTTTGGTATTTATCAAGCTACTGTATATAATTAACATATATAATTATTTAATAAAAAAACAAAAAGGCGTTAAATTGACAACTAATTGTATATTATAAAATATTTTTTGATTTATTTTAATATATGCCTTGAAAATCAAGTTATGTGACATAGTAAATGATTCATCTCATAACTTGATTTTCAAGGCAAATCCCCATATAAGGTCGTGCAAAATTAATTAATTGGTTTTTATAATCCGACTGGATCAATTTTTAAAAATTTTTAAAAAGTTTTTTTGTATGTTTCCAATAATCGTTAAACTTTTTTAAAAACAATTGGATGTAAAAACAAAACCAATAGTCAGGTTTGTTTTATTATTCTTAGTTTTTTTGGTTTTTGTTATTTGGTACATATCTATTTAACTAATATTGGGTTTCTTTATTAAACAATGATTCTATAATATTGTTAATATTATTATAATGAAAATTTCTAAATGTATATTAATGTAGGCTAGGTGCTGATAAAAGGAACCAAATTGACAAAAAATAGATTTTGCGAAAAATTGATTCTTATAACATTTATATTAACTTATAGAAAAATACAGATTTTAAATAATTATACTGTAAATTTTTATTAATATAACAGTGTTTCTTTCTTAAGTAATAAATGTCCCTGAGCTAATTTTAAATTAATTAAGCTTAAAAAATTCATTTTGAAAAAATTGTCAATTTGGTCTCTTTTTTCAGCACCTAGCTCATGTATATACACACATGTATAATTTGTAAATTCATACGTATAACACAAAATTAAAGAAAACGAATATTAATTTGGTTAAAGTTGGATTAAGGTTTGGGTTAAAGCATAATTTATACTAAAGCTTGATGAAAAATTTTTTTGGTGAAGTTTTAAAAGTTGGTTTATTAGTAAAATTTTAAGTTATTTATATATTTATGTTTTATATGCATATTATTATATAAATAAAAAATTTTTATTATAATATATATATTATTTTATTATTATTATTATTAATTATCTTATTAAGCATAATATACCAATTTGATATATTTAAATTAAAATGTAATTATACAAAATTTTACATATTAACTTGTAATTAAATATATTTAATATTTGAATATTTATAGAACATATTTATAAAAATTAAATTAAATTAATTTTTGATTCTATATTATTTAAAAATCTTCAAGTTAATTAAATTTTTTTAAAAAAATTAATTAAAATTTTTTAATATATTTATAAATTAACTAATTAAAATTAAATATTTTTTGTATTATTATGCAAGTATTTTAATATAACATTGTTATTAAATCTACAAAATCTTAATTATAATTATTATGTAAAAAAAAATTATTAAAAAAATATATATTTAAATTTGGTTTATTACATAAAAAATCAACAGTTTTATATAATAAAAATATTTATATATAAAAAAATTAGTAATTAAAATGTAATAACTTAAAATAGTTAGTAAGTTGTCAACTTTCAAGTAGCAGATCTAGTGTTCAAATTTTATTTACAACAATAAAAATTATACTTATGTTATAGCAAACTATTTCTTAATAATTGGTTAAATTAATATATCTGTAACTTTAAATTATACTATTTTAAATAAGAGCTTGAAGCATCTATATAAATATAATATTATATATATATAAAGGAATATTAAAACTAGTGTTATATAAAACTTTAATACAAATACATAATAAAACTATTAGATATAATAAATTAATAAACTAAAGAGTTAGAAATTTATTTAAAAATTTTTGAATAAAATAATAATATAAATTTTTGATAATACAATTAAACTAATAAAAGTTTCAAAAGATTTTTTAAAAAGATAGACAAATAAACTAGACAACAAATATGTAAAACATTAATCAGATTATTAGATTTATTAAAAAAAAATATTAAAATATACTATATTAGACTATTTAAATTAGTAGTTTAAAAAATTCTATTGGTCTTAAATAAAAAAAATTAGTAAAATAATATATTATAAATATAGATACTAGAATTTTAGTAAATTTTACAAAGATAAAAATAGTATAATATAGTAGTTTAATAAATAATATTTGTAACTATAAGTATTAGTCTAACTATAATATGATATATATATATATATTTTTTTTTTATTCTTAAAACTAATGTTAATAATGACTAATGCCTTTATTTGTGCTTTTAGTAAATATATTATATATTATTTGTACAAGATGAGCATACAACTAACCACATATGTAACTTTTGATTATCTATTTAAGTAGTCTTCCTAAGAGTTCTACACTAGCTGCCATATTTATAATCTATTAGAAAACTATCTAATTAAACACTTTGGTTTCTATACTGCACCTAAACAATTAGCTACTTCAGTTTCTATATATCTAAATGCTATTTAATCTAATATTTTGCTTTTTTTTTGTATATCTATCAAGCATTACCTAATTTTAGAGCATGTTACCTGACTATAAGGCTTTAAGAACCTTTCTGTTAACTATCTACCTACTCTATGAAACATTAACAGGGCTTGCTTTTGCAGAGTTTATCTAGACTCTAGCACTTACTTCATAGCATATTCCTAGTACTTTTAGTATACTTCTGTTTTTTCTTCAAACTCCTAATTCAGATAGCTTGATAGAACTACAATCAGTCTATTGTATATCAAATCAGCCTAATATTCTTTTTCTCTGGTTCTTCTGATTGGACTTCTGGCAGTTTGATTGGTAATATCTTCACCAAAGATTTTTGTCTATCTGGATATTCTACATTAGTATCTGTTTTCTAGGTTTAGCCTTTATAATAGTACTATTGAAGATTTGTATTATCTCTTTATTCAGATCTTCTCAAATGTGCTTTTTGTTTTCTAATTTCTACAAATTTATATGACCACAAGAACTTATTTTAGATTTGTACTGCCTGATGCCAGTTTGCATTCCTCTGTATAACCAGTTATACAGATGTCTTATAACCTGTCAGTTATGCTAATATGACTATAATTATAGGTATTTTAATTCAATTATTAGAAACAATTGTCATAATATAAATATTACATAGATAATTATTCAAATTTTCATTGTTTATGAGTTTTGAACTCACAATCTACTACTTGGAAGTTGACAACTTATCCATTTCACTAAGTTATCACATTCCTATAATATAATATATAAAACTAGATAGTTGTATATAAATACAAAAGATTCTAATAAGTTTTCTATTAAAATTAAAATAGTTTTAAGAGTACAATATATATTAAATACTTTAGATAGATAAAGTTTTA